AATATATCTTATCAAAGAATGTAATTTAAATTACCGCACCATTTTATTTCAGTATCAGTAGAAATAATATGGCTGTAGAAAAATCTAGTTAATGTAAGACAATTATAAATTTCGTTTTGATATTGAACAGCTTATCAACAATAAGTTGCGACTCTGGCCTGGCTCTAATATTGTCCAGTCCCTTGCAAGTATATTGCTATTGAGAAAATAAGTTGTGAGTTTCATAAAACTTTTAAAATCTCTCTTTGTAAGATAAAATGACTTTCAGTCGTTTTACGACTGAACAGCATTATTTAGTGTTCCAATGAAAAATTAGTAAAATTGCAATATGCTAAAAGTTATCAAATTGAAAGTACAATTATAGATTTGGATTCCTCTTGCAAAATTAAAAAGGAAATGTCTTATGCTCAGAGCGAGCAAATTTGATAGGCACCCACCTCAGCTGTCAGCCTCTTGCATTGATAACACAATACTGGTAGAGTGTAGACCAGCAGGGCTGAAACAATTCATAAAGAAAAGCACAGCTCACTTTAACAGTGAAACAACAACAACACAACAATTAAACAATAATGACTCTATATGACATCCAATCCAATGAACATGGACCTAGTGCGCAACAAGTATAAAGGTGGATACAGAGTTCACAAGATGCGAGCGTGATTTTCACGCCGCTAGCTTGAAAAAGAGTTGTTTTGGTTAGCAGTTGACTTTATGCAACAGCCAATACCAGGCCGGCGTGGGGCTATATGCCATTCTTTTCAGCTTAATCAGCTTTGTAGCTAGCGCTTCCGGCGTGAAAATCACGCTGCTAGCAGACGCTTGCGTGAAAATCACGCCGAAAGCGTAAAATCACGCTGCTAGCAGACGCTTGCGTGCAAATCACGCCGGAAGCGGAAGCTCCAAAGCTGATTCAGCTGAAAAAAATAGCATAGCATCAAGGCGGCCTGTTATTGGCTGTTGCATACACACTGTCCTTCCAAAAGCAATGCAAGTATTACCTTTTGTGGCAATGACCATGCAATGGCAGTAAGACAAAAGTAAGACCTTTCCAGCGGCAATGATTGGTTCATTGCCAGTCCAAAAGCAGTATTCATTGCCAATTTTGGGAATGAGTTGATGTCAGTTTGTGAACTTTCTCTAAGTTATTAGCAATTCAGTCATTGCCATATTGTGGCATTCAAGGTTCATTGCCAAAGTGCCGGCATTGACGGTTCATTGCCGAAATGACGGCAGCGAAGGCAGGGGCTCGCAACGCAGTGCAAGGATTTAGAATCTAACAAGATCTCCCCTGTTTGGCGTCTTTTATTTTGTAAATGAACAAAACTATTTGCGTGCGCTGCGGAGACTGTCGCACTGGTCCAATGATTTCAGTATTTCAGACGAAATGACGCCCGACCCACATCAGGCCTTCGATAAAGAAGTAAGAGACACAATGGCAAAGTGCTTTATAGGTATCTGATGTCGAATCGGTACCTCCAACAATAAAAATAACGATTATGAAGCCGAGCCCATCGTTCGGCCCCTAACCCCAACTCCCAACTCATGTTTATCAACATTTTATAAATGTTTACACTTTTATTTACTCACAAGGGTGCAGCCTATCCCGGGACAACTTTACTAGTATCTGAACAAAACTACAATGTTTGTCCTCAAATTAAAAGTTACTTATCAGTCGTATGTTAAAATTAAAGGAAATCACATTGCCACGTATAAAAATAGTACAGATACAAATATTATCACAATCACTAGCATTGGACTCATGACTGGAATTGTCACTAAAATTAAGACTTTGGTGCTACTTTGGCGCGCAGTGCAGTGGAAGACTGGCTCCTCCCTTACACTTTCTGATATTATTAAGTATATTTTTGGACTGACCAACTGCATATGTGGTACAGAAGGAGCGTACCATACCACACATAAGGTCATAAGATGCTTTTTCACTTAGGCTATCTCCTACAGCTTCATCCCACAACAATACTACACAACCATTACATACACATTCTATTACCTTGATAGCATCAATTCTAATTTTATTTCTACATGTTCTCTCTAAAATTTCAGCTACACCAACAAAATAATCAAACAGTACGCAACTTACAAAAAATAATTTCCCTTTATCTTTAGCTTTAGTCTATCCTTTGACAATTTCAAGAGGCCCAGGCAAAGAATCACTCTCTTACAATTTCTCAACAATAAGTGTTCCAATTCTACTCCAACCAATATTGCTGGAAAACTGTTTTCTCTTATTGTAGAAACCTCTGACAACATAACCACCAGTGTAATGCACTACCTCTAACACTTCAAGGCACAAGTCAACAGGCTTACTCACTACTCACATTAATACTTGAAAATTTCAGTCACTAGCAGAAATGTGTAGTCACTCACAAAACAGTGCAACAAATT